ATTTTAATTAATTAATATTTATTTAATATTTATAATATTAAATTTATTTATTTTTTAATAAAATATATATTTATTTAATAATATATAAAATTATTAAAAAAAATTATCATCACATCATTCCCCATTATAAAATTGAGAGTAAAGACCAGTAGAAAGTGATGTGGTGTGGGACCATGACAAAGATGTAAGAACACATGAGTCAATCATTCCGTAGAAAGTGCGGTTCTCCCCACGTGTGATTGCCTTCTTAGTGGGTTCCACTGTGGAATTGGTTCCTAATGATTGATGGCACAAAATGGCAAAAAAGAGTAGGTTAAATATTAATTTTGGTCCCTCAACTTTAGTGAGTTACATATTTTTGATCCTTTAATAATTTTTTATATTTTTTTGATCCCTCAATTCTAAGAAATGCACACCGTTAATCCTTCCATCAATTTGGGTCGTTAACTTTGCTCATGTAACATTTTTTATATTTTTTTTATGACATAGCGAAAATAACTTTAAAAAGTGTTAATCTGAACCCTTTTTTTATGACATGTCAACGTCAACTCATAAACCAAATTTGATTAGTATTTATATTTTTAATAAAAAAATTAAAAAACTACAAATTTACCTTAATACTCATGTCTCCCTTTCTTGATCCATCTTTTTCCCTTTTTTATTCCTCTTCTTTCTTCCTCTGCTTCCTCTGTGTTGCTGGGTTCCCTTGAACCTAAATCAGCTGGGTTCAAGGGAACCCAACTCAGGTTCGATGGAACCCATCTGTTGGGTTCCACCGAACCCAGCAAACTGGGTTCCATTGCACCCAAATCTCGAACCCAATAACTAGGTTCGAGGAACCCAGCTCCACTTTTTTTTTTGTTATATGTTTGTTGCAAAGAGTTTATACAAATTGCAGGTTGTGAGGGATTTTTTGGATCCTTTTCTTCATATTTTCTAAGTATTGTCTAAATGATTTCAATGTTCAAAATGGAAAGAACATCGTCAGCAATGGAAAGAATAGAAGCAGTGACTGATGGGCAAAGAAGCAATTCTTAGTGGGTTTCCATTTGTTTGGCTAAAAAATTGTATAGTTTGGGTGTTTAGATGCTGAGAAAATGCTTTCAGTCTGTTTGGTTACTGAGAAAACTATAATGTCTATTAAAGAAAATTTTATGAAAAAATTGTGATTTAATTATAAATTAATTTAGAATCTCAATTTTGATTAATATAAATAATTATAGTTTAATGATGATTAATTAGTGAGATTTGACTTGATATTATTTTTTATTCATATAAGTATTTAAATTTAATTTAATTTGTTACATCATTAAAAAAATATAAAAAATGTCACGTAATTTGCCATGTCATCAAAAGACATCTTTCTTTATCGGTGCTTTGGCAGGCAACGTGGGGCTTATTTGAGTGGATTTGGCACATTTAAGTCACGGGAACATGACATGACGAAACGTTTTGTCCATATCATCACTTTTTTAAATTTTGCTCTCCACATCATCAAAAAAAATATTTAAAATGCCACATGGACGGAGTTAATGGTTTAAATTGACGGAAGGACTAACAGTGTGCATTTCTTAGAATTGAAGGATAAAAAAAGTGCAAAAAATTATTGAGAGACCAAAAAGTGTAACTCACTAAAGTTGAGGGATCAAATTTAATATTTAACCAAAAAATTAACAACTAAATTCAGATTTCATTTGAACATTAAAAATAAAAGCTTGTTTTTTAAAATATAAGTAAAAAGTATAATAAATATATTTTTTATAATTAATTTATATAAAAAATAATAAAATTAATTTTAATTTTGTGTTATTGTTATATGAATAATTTTAATTAATTAAGTAATTAATTTTAAGTCAATTATTATTATATAAATTAATTATAAAGAGTGTATTTATTATAATTTTAATTTTAAAAAAAACCAAAAAAAAGTTAAATATTTCAGTTATAGCCCTTTCTGAAGGTATGTACGCATCACTAAATCACTGGTAGCCTTAGAGCAAATTTAATGTGTCCTGTAAAAAGTAATGTAACTAACTAATCAATTTGCTATATGTTTCAGCATAATTTTATCTTGAAAAGTGGCTACGCAATGTTGAAAAGTATTATTAGAAATTTTGATAACTTTTATAAGAAAGTTTTATAAAAGTTGTTGATTTTATTATTTTAGATGTCTATAAATATTTTAAGTCCCTTATTTTGTAATTTAAATTGTATTAAATAATAAAATAAAATTTTATTACATATAAAACAACTACTAATATCACTTTATTTATTAAGTATCAATTATTTTTATTAATTAAATTAAATAAAATCAATATTTTAAAGACAATATTCTATAATCTTAACATATATATTCATGTGTGGCATACCCACACCCGCAATCTAGGGCAACTTTTCACCATAAACAGTCAAAGCACACCGAACAAGGCAACCGTTTTGAAACCTGATTGTTCCAAATTTCCAAGTACCAACCAAACACAAGCTTCAGAGTACAAGA